AAACAATATACCTTTTTCTCAGCATCCCATGGAACCTTCTCAAATATGCTCACATACAAAACAAACCTCAACAGATAGAAAAAATATGGAATAACCCTGTGTATCTTATCAGATCACAATGGTTCAAAACTAGAAGTCAACAGCAATACTAATTACAGAAAACCCACAAACCCATAGAAATTAATGCTTATCTGAAACATCAAGAAAGAAATTAAGGGAGAAATTAAAGACTTCCCAAAATTCAATGAAAATGACCACACAACATTCCTAAATTTATGGGACACAATGAAAGTAGTGTTAAGAGGCAAGTTCATAGCACTAAATGCCTACATAAAGAAGCTGGAAAAATCCCATACTAGTGAATTAACAGAACATTTGAAAACTTTCAAACAAAAAGAAGCAAACTCATCCAAGAGAACTAGATGGCAGGAAATAAATTGAGGCTGAAATCAACAAAACAGAAACAAAGAAAACAATAAAAGAATCAACAAGACAAAGAGTTGGTTCTTCAAGAAAATCAACAAAATAGACAAACCTTTATCTAAACTAAACAAAAGGCAGAGAGAGACTATCCAAATTAACAAAATCAGAAATGAGGAGGGCAATATAACAACAGGCAGGGAGGAAATACAGAGAATCATGAGGTCATATTTTGAAAACCTGTACTCCACAAAATTGGAAAACTTAAAGGAAATGGACAGCTTTCTGAATAGATATCACTTACCAAAATTAAATCAAGACCAGATAAACAAATTAAATAGACCTATAACTGCTGAAGAAATAGAAACAGTCATCAAAAGTCTCCCAATGAAAAAAAGCCCAGGACCAGATGGTTTCAGCTCAGAATTCTACAAGATTTTCAAAGAAGAACTAATATCAACAATCCTCAATTTATATCACACAATAGAAACAGAAGGAACATTGCCAAACTCTTTCTATGAAGCTACAATTACCCTGATACCCAAACCACAGAAAGACATTACTAAGAAAGAGAATTACAGACCAATCTCACTCATGAACATTGATGCAAAAATACTTAATAAAATACTGGCAAATCGAATTCAAGAACACATCAGAACCGTCATCCAACATGATCAAGTAGGCTTCATCCCAGAGATGCAGGGATGGTTCAACATAAAAAAATCTGCCAATGTAATCCACCATATAAACAAATTGAAAAAATAAAAACCACATCATCATCTCATTAGTTGCCTAAAAAGCTTCTGACAAAATATAACATCTCTTTATGATAAAGGCCTTGGAGAAAACAGGGATACAAGGAACATACCTAAACATAACAAAGGCAATATACAGCAAACCACAGCCCAACATCAAACTAAATGGAGAGAAATTCACAGTGATCTCACTGAAATCAGGAGCAAGACAATGTTTTCCACTCTCTCCATTTCTATTCAATATATTTCTTAAGGTGCTAACTAGAGCAATAAAACACCAAAAGGCGATCAAAGGGAAAAAATTGGAAAAGAAGTCAAACTCTCACTATTTGTTAATGATATGATAGTTTACATAAGCAATCCCAAAAATTTTACCAAGGAACTTCTACAATTCATAAGCATTTTCAGTAATGTAGAAGAATATAAAATTAACTAAAAAAAATCAGTAGCTCTACTGTATACAAATGATAAAAGGGCTAAGAATGAAACCAGAGAAACATCACCCTTCACAATAGCCACAAAAATCATAAAATATCTTTGAGTAACTCTAACCAAACAAGTGGAAGACCTGTATGACAAGAACTTAAATTGTTTGAAGAAAAAGATTGAAGAAGACACCAGAAAGTGAAATGGTCTCCCATGCTATTGGGTAGGTAGAATTAACATAGTAAAAATGGCAAATTTACCAAAAGCAATCTACAGGTTATATGCAATGCCCATCTAAATCCCAACAAAATTCTTCACAGATCTTGAAAGAACGGTACCCAATTTTACATGGAAAAGGAAAAAATACAGGATAGCCAAAACAATCCTGTACAATAAAAGAATTTCTGGAAGCGTCACAATTCCTGACTTCAAACCCTACCATAGAGCTACAATACTGAAAACAGCCTCGTATTGGCATAAGAACAGACAGGAAGACCAATGGAACCAAATTGATGATCTGGATATTAATCCATATACTTTCCAAGACCTGATTTTTGACAGTGAAGCAAAAACTATAAAATGGAAAAAAAGCATATTTAATAAATGGTGCTGGCTAACTGGATGTCCACATGTAGAGGAATGAAAACAGATCCATATCTATCAACATGCACAAAACTCAAGTCCAAATGGATCAAAGACATCAACGTAAAGCCAGCAACACTGAACCTTATAGAAAAGAAATTGGAAAGTACACTTGAATGCATTGGCACAGGAGACCACTTCCTAAATATAACCCTAGCATCACAGACACTTAGAGAAACAATTAATAAGTGGACCTCCTGAAACTGAAAAGCTTTTGTAAAACAAAGGACATGGTCAACATGACAAAACGACAGCCTGCAGAATGCTAAAAGGTCTTCACTAACCTTACATCAGACAGAGGTCTGATCTCCAAAATATACAAAGAACTCAAGACATTGGTCCTCAAAAGAACAATAATGCAAAAATATTGAAGTACAGACCTAAACAGAGAACTCTCAACAGAGGAATCTAAAATGACTGAAAGACACTTAAGAAATTGCTTAGCATCCTTAGTCATCAGATAAATGCAAATCAAAACAACTCTGATTTCCATCTTACACCTGTAGGAATGACCAAGATCAAAAACATTGATGACACCTTATGCTGGAGAGGTTGTGGGGGAAAGGGAACACTCCTGCCTTGCTGGTGGGAGGGCAAACTGGTGCAGCCGCTTTGGATGTCTTTATGGCGATTTCTCAGAAAATTAGGAAATAACCTTCCTCAAGGCCCAGTAATCCACTTTTGTGTATATATCGAAAGGATGCTCAATCGTGCCACAAGAACATGTGTTCAACTATGTTCATAGCAGCATTGTTTGCCATAGCTAGAACCGGGAAACCACCTAAATACCCCTTGACTGAAGAATGGATAAGGAATATGTGGTATAGCAGAGAAAAAAAAAAAAAAAAACGACGTCTTGAATTTTGAAGGAAAATTGATGGAGCTAGAAAACATCAAGTTGAGTGAGGTAACTGAGACACAGAAAGATAATTTTCACACCCTCACTCATAAGTGCTTTTTAAACATAAAGCAAAGAAAACCAGCCTACAATTCACAATCCCAGAGAAAGTAGGCAACAATGAGGACTCTAAAAGAGACATACATAGTTTTAGTGTACATGGGAAGTAGAAAAAGACAAGATCTCCTGAGTAAATTGGGAGCATGGGGACCTTTGGGAGAGGGCTGAAGGGGAGGGAAGGGGTAGGGAGTGGAGCAGAGAAAATGTTGAACTCAATAAAAATCAATAAAAAAGAAAGCAAACTCTATATGGAGTGTCTTTGGTGCCCACTATCCTCTCAGGAGTAGATCAGTGTTGCTAGGAGCAGATGTATCTCATGTCAAAAGAATTCTAAGTTATGCAAACCTTTTTACATGCCTTTTTCTGTATGTCTTTGAAGTGTTTGAAGATTAACTATTTGGAGTATATCTTTATATATCCAAAAAGTCTTACTAACATTACTTTAAGTTGGACTATTATAGATGACTAACTGTATTTTTGTAAATGTGCATTTTAAATTATATATTACATTTTAAATTGAGCTGTATAAACACCATATGTTAAACAAGAGTAGAAATGTACATATAGTATAACAAATTTAACATTAAATTTATATCAATAAACTAAAATCCATACTAATGAAAAATATTTTGAGATTAACAGTTTTTTGGATTAAAGTAAATTCAGTAATCTACCGTTTCCCCCATCATTTCTATATCATATACCTCTTCCTTCCTTTCAAAAGAGATTGACTACAAGCAATAACAGTTTGAAATCAACCCCCTTTAAATGGGGGTCACTATGTATACTATCATATCATCTGCAAATAGCAAAAGTTTGACTTCTTACTTTCCAATTTGTATCCCCCTGGTCTCCTTTTGTTGTCTTATTGCTCTAGCTAGAGCTTATAGTACTATGTTGAATAGATAAGGAGAGAGTGGACAACCATGTCTTGTTCCTGATTTTAGTGGAATCACTTTGAGTTTCTCTCCATTTAATTTGATGTTGGCTGTCGGCTTGCTGTATATTGCTTTTATAGTGTTTAGATATGTTTCTTCTATCCCTGATCTCTCCAAGACCTTTATCATGAAAGGGCATTGGATTTTGTCAAAGGCTTTTTCAGCATCTGATGAGATGATCATATGGTTTTTTTTCTTTCAGTTTACTTATATGGTGGATTACATTGACAGATTTTCATATGTTGAACCATCCCTGCATCTCATGAATGAAGCTAAATTGAAAATGGTGGATGATTTTTGTTGATGTGTTCTTGCATTTGATTTGCCAGTATTTTATTGAGCATTTTTGCATCAGTGTTTGTTTGGGAGAGTGGTGGTCTTTAATTTTCTTTCTTGGTTGCATCTTTATGTGGTTTGAGTATCAGGGTAATTGCAGCCTTATAAAGAGAGTTTGACAATGTTCCTTCTGTTTCTATTGTGTGGAACAATTTGAGGAGTATAGGTATTAGCTCTTCTTTGATGTTTTGGTAGAGTTTTACACTAAATCCATTCACTTTTTTTCTTTTTTCTTCTTTTTAGTTGGGAGACTTTTTATGACTGCTTCTATCTCCTTAGAGGTATAGATCTATTTAAGATGTTCATCTGGTCCTGATTCTATTTTGGTATGTGTGTGTAGCACATATTCTTAATGAACTTCCTGTAAAACACTGTGTTTTAGTTGTAACTGCAGTTTGGAAAATGTGTTCTCAGACTATGCCCATAGCTTCAAAACTCAGATGAAAAATTCATTAATTATGATCACATATGTTTAGTGAAAATTAACTATTTTCTTTCATACCAAACCTTCTGTTTTATCTCCAGATAATACAGTAATCTTTAAAAATTCAGATAGAGAAAAGACCGTGGTGAAACCTGGCTACAGCAGCTTCCTGATCACAGAAATTGAAGATTCAAAGAATGCTTTATCGCTGGCCACTATGCCTCTTACAGTAACATCAAATTTGACCTTTCCAGCACACTCTTGGTACTTATTTGACTTTGGCACAGTTAATGGACGGAATTGGAGCATAACTTTAAGACCATGTAATTATTGGGTTCAACAAAATGATAATGATATGTTATCCCCCAACGTTGTGAAGTATATTGATGTGGGAAACAAAGTGAATTATGAGCTTAAGTTGATACCTAATACACGTGGTAAGTTGGATTTTTATTGAGAACATAAAAAGGAGTTTTTTCTTTTCTTTTGTATAAAACATAACTCTTTGATATTCATTTTGGCTTTCATGATTGCTAGGATTCTACTACTAACAGAAGTATATTCTAATTACGGTTAATGACTTCATTCTAGGTTCTATATTAAATTTTTATAGACATTTTTAATGTTTATAGTTGGTCCAAAGTCTAGATAATAATCATTCTATAAAATGAAGATAATGAGCAGTCAAAACTTCTATCATAGGATAACACAGATTTTTGTTGACCTTCTAAATGAAAACCTTTTCATTTCTTTGGTATGAAAATATTTGTCTTAGGTATTTTTTTTAAAATCATAGATTTACTTTTATTTTGTGTCTATGAGTGTTTTGGCTGAATGTATCTTCACCATATATCTGTCCATGGTTCAAAGAGGGTATCAACCCCCCTGGAACTCAAGGACACATGTTGTAAGAATCCATGTGCCTTCTGGGAATCAAAGCAAGTTCCTCTACAAGATTCTCAAGAGCCTTTAGCCACTAAGCCGTATCTTTAATCCCTACTGTAGGCATTTAATTCAAGCCAAAATGGATTTTACATAAAATACTATACTATATCTTATATTTTAGTATATTTATTATAAAAGCCTATAAGCCTACACTGCCAAGATGTTTTAGCAAATTAGGGCATTTTTCCACCAAGACTGTTACCTGAGAACCACGATCAACATAGTAAAGGGAGAGAACGAAGAGCCAAGTCCTAAACGTAGTCCTCTGGCCTTCCCAAGAGCACCATCTCATGCACACACTCACATGAATACGCAAGACACACTCACTCACACTCACATATTATAAAGTAAGTAAGTACACAAATATACAATAATAATGAAAAATGTAAGGGCTCAGTGGATATAAACACTTGCCATGCAACTCAGACAACCCGAGTTTGGCCTCTGGATCCCACAATGGAAAGACAGAATTAATTCCCATAAGTGGTCCCCTGATCAGCATAAGCTCACCATGGCATCCGTGGACCATACTTGAACACACATACAATCATGTACACACAACAGTAATGAAAGGCCTCTGTGCATGCATCCGAGGGATTATCCTGATTACATTAATCGATGTGGGAAGACCCATCTTAATTGCAGGTGGGTCTGGCACAAGCAAGCTGAGAACCGGTATGCATTAGTGTACTGCTCTCTACTTCTTGGCTGTAGATGAAATACCTGGCAGCTTCAACTTGACTTCCTCATCAGAATGGACTGTACATTGAACTGTGAACTGAAATGATCTCATCCTTCTGTACACTCTGTTCATCAGGGTTTCTGTGGAGGTGGGAAAGCCAGGATTTTGTCTTTTAGTGTCCTGCTGGACCTAGTGAGAGTCTATGCTTTTTAACAAAAGCAGTTTCTAGGTGTCTATTATGGGACATCAAGTCAGAGATGTCAGACGTATTGTCCCATTTGAGTCACTCTTTTTTTTTTAATTTAAAAAAATTTCTCTTTTATTAAATTTTTTTAATTAAAAATTTCCACCTCCTCCCCGCCTCCCTTTTCCCTCCCCCTCCACCCACTCCCCACGCCCCCTCTCCTCCCCCTCCCTCTCCAGTCCAAAGAGCAGTCAGGGTTCCTTGCCCTGTGGGCAGTCCGAGGTCCTCCTCACTCCATCCAGGTCTAGGAAGGTGAGCATCCAAACCGGCTAGGCTCCCACAAAGCCAGTACATGCAGTAGAATCAAAACCTAGTGTCATTGTCCTTGGCTTCTCAACAGATCCTCATTGTCTGCCATATTCAGTGAGTCCGGTTTTATCCCATGCAATTTCAGTCACAGTCCAGCTGGCCTTGGTGATCTCCTAATAGATCAGCCCCAACGTCTCAGTGGGTGGGTGCCCCCCTCATGGTCTTGACTACCTTGCTCATGTTCTCCCTCCTTCTGTTCCTCATTTAGACCTTGGGAGCTCAGTCCATTGCTCCAATGTGGATCTCTGTCTCTATCTCCATCCATCACCAGATGAAAATTCTATGGTGATATGCAAGATATTCATTAGTATGGCTATAGGATCGGGCCATTTCAGGCTCTCTCTCCTCAGCTGCCCAAGGACCTAGTTGGGTACAACTCTCTGAACCCCTGGGAACCCCTCTAGAGTCAAGTCTTTGCCAACCCTAAAATGGCTCCCTTAATTAAGATATATACTTCCCTGCTCCCATATCCATCCTTCCATTATCCCAACTATCCCATTCCCCCAAGTTCTCCCTATCCTCCCCTTCTCACTTTTCTCTACCCATCTCCTCTTTCCCCCATCCCTCCCCACCCCCCAGTTCCCAAATTTTTGCCCAGCAATCTTGACTGCGTCCAATATCCAGGAGGATAACCATAAGTTTTTCTTTGGGTTCACCTTCTTATTAAGCTTCTCTAGGATCGCGAATTATAGGCTCAATTTCCTATATTTTTTTTAAAGACAGAAAATAATATTTTATAGACTAGACAAACATGCTTGGTGTCTCCTTCTTGTAAAACAGAAATCTGTTGAAAATTTTAAACTTTGAAGTACAATTAGTATATTTGAAGTACAAGTAGTTTAATTATCTAATCAATTTTTTAATTTATTTATTTATTAAGATTTCTGTCTCTTCCCCGCCACCGCCTCCCATTTCCCTCCCCCTCCCCCAATCGAGTCCCCCTCCCTCCTCAGCACAAAGAGCAATCAGGGTTCCCTGCCCTGTGGAAAGTCCAAGGAACCCCCACCTCCATCCAGGTCTAGTAAGGTGAGCATCCAAACTGCCTAGGCTCCTACAAAACCAGTACGTGCACTGGGATCAGAAACCCATTGCCATTGTTCTTGAGTTCTCAGTAGTCCTCATTGTCCGCTATGTTCAGGGAGTCCGGTTTTATCCCAGGCTTTTTCAGACCCAGGCCAGTTGGCCTTGGTGGGTTCCCAATAGAACATCCCCATTGTCTCAGTGTGTGGGTGCACCCCTTGCGGTCCTGAGTTCCTTGCTCGTGCTCTCTCTCCTTTTGCTCCTGATTTGGACCTTGAGATTTCTGTTTGGTGCTCCAATGTGGGTCTCTGTCTCTGTCTCTGTCTCCTTTCATCGCCTGATGAAGGTTAATATTCAGGAGGATGCCTATATGTTTGTCTTTGGGTTCTCCTTATTTAGCTTCTCTAAGATCACTAACTATAGGCTCAAGGTCCTTGGTTTATGGGTAGAAACCAAATATGAGTGAGTACATCCCATGCTCCTCTTTTTGGGTCTGGCTTGCCTCACTCAGGATAGTGTTTTCTATTTCCATCCATTTGCATGCAAAATTCAAGAAGCCCTTGTTTTTTACTGCTGAGTAGTACTCTAATATGTATATATTCCATACTTTCTTCATCCATTCTTCTATTGAAGGGCATCTAGGTTGTTTCCAGGTTCTGGCTATTACAAACAATGCTGCTATGAACATAGTAGAGCATATATTTTTGTTGTATGATAAGGCCTCTCTTGGGTATATTCCCAAGAGTGGTATTGCTGGGTCCAGGGGTAAGTTGATCCCGAATTTCCTGAGAAACTGCCACACTGCTTTCCAAAGTGGTTGCACAAGTTTGCATTCCCACCAGAAATGAATGAGTGTACGCCTTTCTCCACAACCTCTCCAGCAAAGGCTATCCTTGGTGTTTTTTATTTTAGCCATTCTGGGAGGTGTAAGATGGTATCTTAAAGTTGTCTTGATTTGCATTTCCCTGATCGCTAAGGAAGTTGAGCATGACCTTAAGTGTCTTTTGGCCATTTGAACTTCTTCTGTTGAGAATTCTCTGTTCAGCTCAATACCCCATTTTATAATTGGGTTGATTAGCGTTTTACGGTCTAGTTTCTTGAGATCTTTATATATTTTGGAGATCAGACCTTTGTCAGTTGCGGGGTTGGTGAAGATCTTCTCCCTGTCAGTGGGTTGCTTTTTTGTTTTAGCGACAGTGTCCATTGTTTTACAGAAGCTTCTCAGTCTCAGGAGGCCCCATTTATTCAATGAGGTCCTTAATGTCTGTGCCGCTGGGGTTATACATAGGAAGCGATCTCCTGTGCCCATGTGTTGTAGAGTACTTCCCACTTTCTCTTCTGTCAGGTTCAGTGTGTTCGGACTGATATTGAGGTCTTTAATCCATTTGGACTTGAGTTTTGTGCATGGTGATAGATATGGATCTATTTTCATTCTTCTACAGGTTGACATCCAGTATTGCCAGCACAATTTGTTGAAGATGCTCTCTTTTTTCCATTGTATACTTTTAGCTCCTTTATCGAAAATGAGGTGATCATAGGTTTGTGGGTTAATGTCAGGGTCTTCTATTTGATTCCATTGGTTGACTTCTCTGTTTTTATGCCAATACCAAGCTGTTTTCAATACTCTAGCTCTGTAGTAGAGTTTGAAGTCAGGGATGGTAATACCTCCAGACAATCCTTTACTGTATAAGATTGTTTTGGCTATCCTGGGTTTTTTGTTTTTTCATGTAAAGTTGATTATTGTGCTCTCAAGGTCTGTGATGAATTTTGATGTGACCTTGATGGGGATTGCATTGAATCTATAGATTGCTTTTGGTAAAATTGCCATTTTTACTATGTTGATCCTCCCAATCCAGGAGCAAGGGAGATCCTTCCATTTTCTGGCATCCTCTTCAATTTCTTTCTTCAAAGACTTAAAGTTCTTGTCAAATAGATCTTTCACATCCTTGGTCAGAGTTACCCCAAGATATTTTATGCTATTTGTGGCTATCGTGAAAGGTGATGCTTCTCTAACTTCCCTCTCTGTTTCCTTATCCTTAGTATATAGGAAGGCACTGATTTTTTGGAGTTGATCTTGTATCCTGCCACAAAACTAAAGGTGTTTATCAGCTGTAGGAGTTCTTTGGTAGAGTTTTTGGGGTCGCTTATGTATACTATCATATCATCTGCAAATAACGAGAGCTTAACTTCTTCTTTTCCGATTCAAATCCCCTTGATCCCCTTATGTTGTCTTATTGCTATTGCTAGAACTTCAAGCACTATATTGAAGAGGTATGGAGAGAGTGGACATCCTTGTCGTGTTCCTGATTTTAGTGGGATGGCTTTGAGTGTTTCTCCGTTTAACTTAATGTTAGCTGTCGGCTTGCTGTATATAGCTTTTATTATGTTTAGGTATGACTCTTGTATCCCTAATCTCTCCAAGACTTTTATCATAAAGGGGTCTTGAATTTTGTCAAATGCTTTTTCAGCATCTAATGAAATGATCATATGGTTTTTTTCTTTCAGTTTATTTATATGATGGATTACATTAATAATTTTTCGTATGTTGAACCAGCCCTGCATCTCAGGAATGAAGCCTACTTGATCATGATGGATAATTTTTCTAATGTGTTCTTGGATTCAGTTTGCCAGTATTTTATTGAGAATTTTTGCGTCGATATTCATGAGTGAGATAGGCCTGTAATTCTCTTTCTTGGTTGGGTCTTTGTGTGGTTTTGGTATCAGGGTAACTGTAGCTTCATGAAAGGAATTAGGCAATGCCTCTCCTGTTTCTATATTGTGAAATACATTAAGGAGTATAGGTATTATCTCTTCTTGGAAGTTCTGGTAGAATTCTGCATTGAAACCATCTGGTCCTGGGCTCTTTTTGGAGAGGAGATTTTTGATAACGGTTTCTAGTTCTTCGTGACTAACAGGTCTGTTTAGATCGTTCACCTGGCCTTGGTTTAACTTTGGTATGTGGTACTTATCTAAAAAAATGTCCATTTCTTTTGCATTTTCTAGTTTTGTGGCATACAGGCTTTTGTAGTAAGATCTGAAGAGTCTCTGAATTTCCTCTGTGTCTGTGGTTATGTCCCCCTTTTCATTTTTGATCTTATTTATTTGCGTGTTCTCTCTCTGTCATTTAATTAGTTTGGATAGGGGTTTGTCGATCTTGTTGATTTTCTCCAGGAACCAACTTTTTGTTTCATTGATTCTTTGGACTGTTTTCTGTGTTTCTACTTTGTTGATTTCAGCCCTCAGTTTGATTATTTCCAGTCTTCTACTCCTCCTGGGTGAGTCTGCTTCTTTTTTTTTCTAAAGCTTTCAGGTGTGCTGTTAAGTCTCCTATGTATGCTTTGTCTGTTTTCTTTATGTGGGCACTTAGTGCTATGAACTTTCCTCTTAGCACTGCTTTCATAGTGTCCCATAGGTTTGAGTATGCTGTCCCTTTATTTTCATTAAATTCAAGGAAGACTTTAATTTCTTTCTTGATTTCTTCCTTGACCCAGGTGTGGTTCAGTAGTTGACTGTTCAGTTTCCATGAGTTTGTCAGTTTTCTGTGGGTAGCGTGGTTGTTGCCTTCTAACTTTAATCCGTGGAGATCTGATAAGACACAGATGGACACTGATATTTTTTGTATCTGTGGAGGTTTCCTTTGTTTGCAAGTATGTGGTCAATTTTTCGAGAAGGTTCCATGAGCTGCAGAGAAGAAGGTATATTATTTCCTATTTGGGTGGAATGTTCTACAGATGTCTGTTAAGTCCATTTGCTTCATTACCTCCAATAATTCTCTTAATTCTCTATTAGGTTTCTGTCTGATTGACCTGTCCATTGGTGAGAGAGGTGTATTGAAGTCTCCTACTACTAGTGTGTGTGGTTTGATGTCTGCCTTGAGTTTTAGTAATATTTCTTTTACATAAGTGGGTGCTTTTATATTAGGGGCTTAAATATTCAGGATTGAGACTTCATCCTGACGAATTGTTCCTATTATGAGTATAAAGTGTCCATCTCGTCTCTTCTGATTGATTTTAGTTTGAAGTCAGTTTTTTTAGAAATTAATATGGCCACACCTGCTTTTTTCTTAGGACCATTTGCTTGAAACACCTTTTCCCAACCCTTTACTCTGAGTAGATGCCTGTCTTTGTGGTTGAGATGTGTTTCTTGCAAACAGCAGACTGTTGGATCCTGTTTTCGTATCCAATCTCTTAGCCTGTGCCTTTTTATAGGTGAATTGAGACCATTAATATTAAGTGATATTGATGACCAGTGGTTGTTTTCTCAGGTTATTCTTATTGTTTTTGGTAGTAGAATTTGTGTGTCTCCCTTCTTTGAGTTGTGCTGGTGAAGAGTTGCTAGATGCCTCAGTTATTATAGGCAGTGTTGGCAATGTTGGATTCCTTGGGTTGCGATTTTCCTTCTATTACTTTCTGTAGGGCTGGATTCATGGCTACGTATTGTTTAAATTTGTTCTTATCCTGGAATGTCTTGTTTTCTCCATTGATAGTGAATGAAAGCTTTGCTGGGTATAGTAGTCTGGGCTTGCATCCATGGTCTCTTAGCTTCTGTAGTACTTCTATCCAGGACCTTCTGGATTTCATTGTTTCCATAGAGAAGTCAGGTGTAAGTCTGATCGGTTTACCTTTATAAGTTACTTGGCCTTTTTCCTTTGCAGCTCTTAATATCCTTTTTTAACCTGTATATTTTGTGTTTTGATTATTATATGGTGAGGGGATGTTTTTCTTTGATCCAGTTTGTTTGGTGTTCTGTATGCTTCTTGAATATTCAAAGGAATATATTTCTGTATGTTGGGAAAGTTTTCTTCCATAATTTTGTTAAAAATATTTTCTGGCCCTTTGAGCTGTGACTCTTCTCCTTCTTCTATTCCTATTATTCTTAGGTTTGGTCTTTTTATTGTGTCCCAGATTTCCTGAATGTTTTGTGTTGAGAAACTGTTGGCTTTGCAGTTTTCTTTGATCATTGCCTTTATTTTCTCTATGGTGTCCTCAGAATCTGAGATTCTTTCTTCTATTTCTTATATTCTATTGATTATGCTTGTTTCTGTAGGCTCTGCTCGTTGACCTAGATTTTCCATAACCAGCTGGTCCTCAGTTTGTGTTTTCTTCCTTGCTTCCATTTCAGTTTTCAATTCTTGAACTGTTTCCATTACCTGTTTGATCATTCTTTCTTGGTTTCCCAGGCTATTATGTACTATTATTCTCTAAATGTACTCATTTCTTCAAACTTTTTGTTATATTTCTCATCCATTTCTATAAGGGCATTTTTCACATGTTGTTTAAGGGACTCTATTGCTTTCATAAAGTCAATTTTTTCCACTTCTTCTGTGTTAGGGTGTTGAAGACCTTCTGTTGTAAGATCGTTGGGTTCTGGTGTTTTCATGCTTTTTTTCGGATTATTAGGTGAATTCTTGCCTTGGCGCCTGCCCATCTCCTCCTATGGATGCTATCTAATGGGTCTTTTAAAACTGGTTCAGGTTTCCCTGCTGACCAGGGCCTCCTCTTACAAAATGCCCTCGCTCTGTTTCCTGGTTCCTGCCAGGTTGCCAAGATCCCTCTCACCTCTCAGAGGGGTCTTCAGGAATAGCGCCTGGCTCCTCCTTTGCCAGGGACTTCACCAACCAAAGGCCTACCTCTTTGATTCAATTGTAGTGGGGCGATCTGGTCTCGGTGCGTGGTCCCTGCAGCCTGTATCTGCTGCCACCACTGTTCCTGCGGCCTGCGTCCTCTGCTGCCTATCGGGTTCCAGCCGGTCCCCACCGGCTGCCAGGGGGCGTCCTTCATCCGCCTCCACGACTGGGTTCCGTCCGCCTCCCTAAATTTATGTCTAAAAACCAATTATGAGTGAGTACATCCCATGTTCATCTTTTTGGGTCTGGCTTACCTCATTCAGGATAATGTTTTCTATTTCCATCCATTAACATGCAAAATTCAAGAAGTCATCGTTTTTTACCGCTGGGTAGTACTCTAATATATGTATATATTTCACACTTTCTTCATCCATTCTTCCATTGAAGGGGATCTACGTTTTTTCCAGGTTTTGGCTATTACAAATAATGCTGCTATGAACATAGTTGAAAAAATACTTTTGGAGTATGATAGGGTACTCTTGGGTATATTCCTAAGAGTGGTATTGCTGGGTCCTGGTGTAGGTTGATCCCAAATTTCCTGAGAAAGCGCCACACTGCTTTCCATAGTGGTTGCACAAGTTTGCATTTCCACCAGCAATGGATGAGGGTACCCCTTACTCCACATCCACTCCAGAAAAGGCTATCATTGGTGTTTTTGATTTTAGCCATTCTGACAGGTATAAGATGGTATCTCAAAGTTGTTTTGATTTGCATTTCCCTGATTGCTAAGGAGGTTGAGCATGACCTTAAGAGTCTTTTGGCCATTTGAAATTCTTCTGTTTAGAATTCTCTGTTCAGTTCGGTGCCCCATTTTTTAATTGGGTTAATTAGCATTTTAAAGTCTAGTTTCCCGAGTTCTCTATATATTTTGGAGATCAGACCGTTGTCTGTTACGGGGTTGATGAAGATCTTCTCCCAGTCAGTAGGTTGTCTTTTTGTCTTAGTGACAGTGTCCTTTTCTTTACCGAGCTGCTCAATCCAGGAGGTCCCATTTATTCAATGTTACCCTTAATGTCTGTGCTGCTGAGGTTATATGTAGGAAGTGGTCTCCTGTGCCCATATGGTGTAGAGAACTTCCCACTTTCTCTTCTATCAGGTTCAGTGTGTTCAGACTGATATTGAGATATTTAATCCATTTGGACTTGAGTTTTGTGCATGCTGATAGATATGGATCTATTCTCATTCTTCTACAGGTTGACAACCTGTTCTGCCAGCACAATTTGTTGAAGATGCTCTCTTTCTTCCATTGCATATTTTTAGCTCCTTTATGGAAAATGAGGTGATCATAGGTTTGTGGGTTAAAGTCAGGGTCTTCTACTCAATTCCATTGATCGACTTCTCTGTTTTTATGCCAATACCAAGCTGCTTTCAATACTGAATCTCTTTAATAGAGTTTGAAGTCAGGGATGGTAATGCCTCTAGACAATCCTTTATTGTGTAAGATAGTTTTGGCTATTTTGGTTTTTTTGTTTTCCCATGTAAAGTTGATTATTGTGCTCTCAAGGTCTGTGAAGAATTTTGATGGGATTTTGATGGGGATTGCATTGAATCTATAGATTGCTTTTGGGAGAATTGCTATTTTTACTATATTGATCATCCCAATCCAAGAGCAAGGGAAATCTTTCCATTTTCTGGTGTCTTCTTCAATTTCTTTCTTCAAAGACTTAAAGTTCTTGTCAAATAGATCTTTCACTTCCTTGGTCAGAGTTACCCCAAGATATTTTATGCTACTTGTGGCTATCGTGAAAGGTGATGCTTCTCTGAATTCCCTCTCTGCATCCTTATCCTTAGTGTATAGGAGGGCAACTGATTTTTTGGAGTTGATCTTGTATCCTGTCACATCACTAAAGGAGTTTATCAGCTGTAGGAGTTCTTTGGTGGAGTTTTTGGGGTCGCTTATGTACACTATCATATCATCTGCAAACAACCACAGTTTAACTTCTTCTTTTCCAATAGAATCCCCTTGATCCTCTTATGTTGTTTTATTGCTGTTGCTAGAACTTCAAGCACTATATTGAAGAGGTATGGGGAGAGTGGACAGCCTTGTCGTGTTTCTGATTTTAGTGGGATGGCTTTGAGTAGTTCTCCGTTTAACTTAATGCTAGCTGTTGGCTTGCTGTAAATAGCTTTTATTATATTTAGATATGAACCTTGTATCCCTAATCTCTCCAAGACTTTCATCCTAAAGGGATGTTGATTTGGTCAAATGCTTTTTCAGTATCTAATTAAATGATCATATGATTTTTTCTTTCAGTTTATTTATATGATGGATTACATTGATAGATTTGTGTGTGTTGAACCATCCCTGCATCTCTGGGATGAAGCCTACTTGATCATAATGGATAATTTTTCTAATGTGTTCTTGGATTGGTTTGCCAGTATTTTATTTTATTTTTTCTATTTGAGAAATAGAAAAAAATTCCACCTCCTCCCAGCCTCCCATTTCCCTCCCCCTCCTCCCACCCTTCTCCCCCTCTCCCCACTCCTCTCCCCCTCCCTCTCCAGTCCAAAGAACAGTCAGGGTTCCCTGCCCTGTGGAAAGTCAAAGGTCCTCCCCCCTCTGTCCATGTCAAGGAAGGTGAACATCCAAACTTTGCCAGTATTTTATTAAGAATTTTTGCATCCTTTGACGCAAAAATTGTCAGTATTTTATTGAGAATTTTTGCGTCGATGTTCATGAGTGCTATAGGCTTGTAATTCTCTTTCTTGGTTGAGTCTTTGTGTGGTTTTGGTATCAGAGTAACTGTAGCTTCATAAAAGGAATTTGACAATCACTCTTCTGTTTCTATATTGTGAAATACATTAAGGAGTATAGGTATTATCTCTTCTTGGAAGTTCTGGTAGAATTCTGCATTGAAACCATCTGGTCCTGGGCTTTTTTTGGAAGGGAGATTTTTGATAACAGTTTCTAATACTTCGCGACTAACAGGTCTATTTAGATCGTTCACCTTGTCTTGGTTTAACTTTGGTATATGGTACTTATCTAAAAAGATGTCCATTTCTTTTTCATTTTCCAGTTTTGTGGAATACAGGCTTTTGTAGTAAGATCTAATGAGTCTCTGAATTTCCTCTGTGTCTGTGGTTTTGTCCCCCTTTTCATTTCTGATCTTATTTATTTGTGTGTTCTCTCTCTGCCGTTTGATTAGTTTGGATAAAGGTTTGTTGATCTTGTTGATTTTCTCCAGGAACCAACTTTTTGTTTCATTGATTTTTTGGATTGTTTTCTGTGTTTCTACTTTGTTGATTTCAGCCCTCAGTTTGATTATTTCCAGTCTTCTACTTCTCCTGGGTGAGTCTGCTTCTTTTTTTTTCTAAAGCTTTCAGGTGTGCAGTTAAGTCCCCAGTGTGTGCTTTCTCCGTTTTCCTTAAGTGGGCACTTAGTGCTATGAACTTTCCTCTTAGCACTGCTTTCATCGTGTCCCTTAGGTTTGAGTATGTTGTCTCTTTATTTTCATTAAATTCAAGGAAGACTTTAATTTCTTTCTTTATTTCTTCCTTGACCCAGGTGTGGTTCAGTAGTTGACTGGTCAGTTTCCATGAGTTTGTCAGCTTTCTGGGAGTAGCCTCGATGTTGAATTCTAACTTTAATCCATGGTGATCCAATAAAACACATGTGGTTACTAACATTTTTTTGTATCTGTGGAGGTTTGCTTTGTTACCGAGTATGTGGTCAATTTTCGAGAAGGTTCCATGAGCTGCAGAGAAGAAGGTATATTCTTTCCTATTTGGTTGGAATGTTTATAGATGTCTGTTAAGTCCATTTGCTTCATTACCTCCATTAATTCTCTTATTTCTCTATTAGGTTTCTGTCTTATTGACCTATCCATTGGAGAGATAGGTGTGTTGAAGTCTCCTATTATTAGTGTGTGAGGTTTGATGTCTGCCTTGAGTTCTAGTAATGTTTCTTTTTCAAAAGTGGGTGCTTTATATTAGGGGCGTAGATATTCATGATCGAGACTTCATCTTGATGAATTGTTCCTGTTATGAGTATAAAATGACCATCTCTATCTCTTCTCATTGATTTTAGTTTGAAGTCAGATTTGTTAGAAATTAGTATGGCCACACCTGCTTGTTTCTTAGGTCTATTGGCTTGAAAAACCTTTTCCCAACCCTTTACTCTGAGTAGATGTCTATTTTTGTGGTTGAGGTGTGTTTCTTGTAAACAGAAGAATGTTGGACCCTGTTTTTGTATCCAATCTCTTAGCCTGTGCCTTTTTATAGGTGAATTGAGTCCATTGATATTAAGTGATATTAATGACCGGTGGTTGTTGACTCTGGTTGTTATTTTTTTTTTTTTTTGGTAGTAGAGTTTGTGTGTTCCCTTTCTTTAAGTTTTGCTGGTGAAGGGTTGCTAGTTGTCTGAGTTATTATAGGCAGTGTTGGCAATGTTGGATTCCTTGGGTTGCGATTTTTTTCTATTACTTTCTGTAAGGCTGGGTTTGTGGGTACATATTGTTTAAATTTGTTCTCATCCTGGAATATCTTATTTTCTTCATTGATGGTGAACGAAAGCTTGGCTGGGTATAGTAGTCTGGGATTGCATCCATGGTCTCTTAGTTCCTGAAGTACCTCTATCCAGGACCTTCTCGCTTTCATGGTTTCCATTGAGAAGTCTGGTGTAAGTATGATAGGTTTACCTTTATAAGTAACTTGACCTTTTTCCTTTGCAGCTCTTAATATTCTTTTTTTAATCTGTATGTTTTGTGTTTTGATTATTATATGGCGAGGGGATTTTTTTTTGATCCAGTCTATTTGGTGTTCTGTATGCTTCTTGAATATTCATAGGAATATCTTTCTTTATGTTGGGAAAGTTTTCTCCCATAATTTTTTAAATAAATTTTCTGGTCTTTTGAGCTGTAATTCTTCTCCTTCTTCTATCCCTATTATTCTTAGGTTTGGTCTTTTTATTGTGTCCCATATTTCCTGAATGTTTTGTGATGAGAATTTGTTGGATTTTCTGTTTTCTTTGATCAGTGCGTTTATTTTCTCAATGGTGTCTTCAGAGTCTGACATTTTTTCTTCTATCTCTTGAATTCTATTAGTTATGCTTGTTTCTTTAGTCTCTGTTCGTTGCCCTAGATTTTCCATATCCAATTGGCCTTCGGTTTGTGTTTTCTTCCTCTTCTCCATTTCAGTTTTCAATTCTTGAACTGTTTCCATTACCTGTTTGATCATTCTTTCTTGGTTTCCCAGGCTATTATGTACGTATTTACTCATTTCTTCAAACTTTTTGTTATACTTCTCATCCATTTCTATAAGGGTGTTTTTTACATGCTGTTTAAGGGACTCTATTGCTTTCATAATGTCAATTTTTCCCCTTCTTCTGGATTAGGGTGTTCAAGACCTTCTGTTGTCTGATCACTGGGTTCTGGTGTTTTCATGTTGTTTTTCAGATTGGTGGAGGAATTCTTGCCTTGGCGCCTGCCTATCTCTTCCTCCAAATGCTATCCTATGGATCTTATGGAACAGGATCAGGTTCTTGTGGTGGCCAGGAACCTCATGAACAAAGGGCCTCTCTTGCTGCAGACAGGCTATTGAAGCCAAGCAATTTCCGTAGGCCCCTTTGCCCTCAGCACCCAGTCCCAGCACCCAAACAGGCTGAGCTGGTGGATCCCGGGGCCCTGCAGAAGGGAGGAAAAAGGGAGACGGTTCCTGGCTGCAAACTGGGATGGGTTAGGGAGAGAGAGGCCCCAGCAGAGGGGAACAGCCCCTGCTGAATGACCAGGGAATGAAGGGAGTCGGGGAATGTCCCTGCTCTGTGTCCGGGCTCCTGCCGCGGGTCAAGAGCACATTGAGTCACTCTTCAGATGTCTGCAAGTTCAAGTGAAGACTCAGTGCTTTTAGCAAAGCTTTTAAGGACTACCAAATGGCAAGCACAACTGTTACAGCTCACATAGCAGAGGTCTTACCTACATAAAAACAAACACGAAGACACTAATGTGTGACATCTAAAATTCATACTATCTAAACTTCTCTAGCTAACACTTTTCTATGAAGAGGTAAGGGGCCCAGAGTTCTTTATCTTCTATCCCCTGGCTGTCACTAACTGCCTCGGCTTTGCCTCTGTGTGGGCCCAAGTTCAATAACCAGTGCCAAGAGATAACAGACTGAAGGAAAGGCTTTCTCTACCCAGCAAGGAAGGATACATTGAATATTTCCAAAGCACAGTCTCCCCAGGGGAAAGAAGCAAAAAGGCTTGCCTTTTTTTTCCTTTCCTGAGAAAACTTCACATAGGACTATTGTTAGATTGAAACATCCTTGAACATGATATACATACTGTGAATATTTCCAAAGCAATTTCTCCCTGGGTGGGGAAAGCAAAAATGCTTGACTTTCACATAGGAGTGTTGCTAGACAGAAACATCTTTGAGTATGAGATTATACTTATACATACCCCACACAGGAGTGTCATTAGATAGAAACATCCTTGAACATGATATACACACTTATTCATACTTACACATACTTCACCCAGGAGTATTGTTAGATGGAAACATTCTTGAATATGCACATTTCAAGATCATGCATTGTTCAAAAGAGGGCAGAAAACTTGATATTGCAGTGAACGAAGTTCACCCTAGGTTACTATAAAGAGCAAGTCAGAGAGCCTGGGATGTTTTGTCTGATTCCTAAGTTTTTCTGGAGGAGGTTTTCCCAAACCAGTAAGTCTCACGGACAAGTTTCTGAGGGAGGCTGGACAGGCAGCTCACATGGCTCTTTAGAGAACTGAGTTCAGTTCCCAGCACACACAAAATCTTTGCAGGGATAGTAATAGTCATATAAGGGCATTAGCTTTCTCAGCTCCATAGTTGTAGGTGATTGTACCTACAAATTCCTGCCTGGTCCCACACATAATCAGAAGTACCCAAGTGACCTTGCTGTCCATGTGACAATTTGGATGAGAAATGAGGAGGAGAAGGGACATTAAATTTTCTGAGGAAAATATCTGTGAAGATAAACTTTCTAAGGACTATTAAGATGCCAATCACTATTCAGTTCTTCTTATAATTTTCATTTGGTAATGTTAGCTTTTGGCACTGTTTCCACAGGTCTGAGAATACTTGAGGTCCCACCAGTCATTGTAGTTGTTGGAAACCCATCGATATTGAATGTTAAGGTAGAAGGACATTTTGACTTCGTTGATAGCTACCATTTGAAGGTTGAGGTAGCTAGCAATTATTTCCATAAAGTAAGAGAATTTTTTAAAATTATAAAACAATCTATTACCTGTAGAAAATATAGACATAGTAGCTATAAAAGACAAACTTAATCCTTCCATCAATAGTAAGTAGCCTTAACATGTGTGGTATTTTATAAGACAGGGTGAAGGGTATAGAAATGTTACATAGGCATTCTGGTCAGGAGTATGGCATATCTTTAATTCCAACACTCTGGGGGCAGGAGCAGGCAGAGATCTCTGAGAGTTTGAGACCAGCCTGGTCTACACGGTGAGTTCCAGGCCACTCAGGGCTACATAGTAAGAGGATCTTAGAAGAAAAAAACCTTTCATATTTTTATATTTCTAAAACTTTTTTCCTGATTTTATCTTTTCTGTTCTCTTCATTGTTAATCAGAAATTCTCTCTAGCACTTTTATGCCCTCCTTCATTTTCTGTTTTTCTTCGTCTTCTTTGAGTTTTTTTTCCATACCCTGCCCCTCCTTGTTTCATTATTTTTTACTTGAAATGTTTTGAACCTTGAGCCACATTAATTTTAGCTATCTTATTTTATGTGGTTATTGATAGTATAGTACTTAGCTTAAATAAATTTGATTACATTTTTGCATCAGATTTGGTTTGGTAATACTACTCAAATGGGCAGTTTATGTCCCCTCCCAAAGTGACACTTGGGCTCTAATGCTCAGCTTTATCTACCTACTTGACACAATCTACAATCACCTGGGAGAGCTGTATCAATGAACTTGTAAGATCAGGTTGGCCTATGAGCTCACTAAGAAATATTTTGTCAATTAGATTAACAGAGGTAACAAGACCCACCCTGGGAATTAGAAAACAAAGAAACAGTATTGACAAACTCCAAGACAAAAGCACTAGGGATTGGAACTGTGGCTCAGTTGGGAAAGTGCTTGACTGGCTGGCATAAAGCCAGGGATTAGATCCCAGCATCAAATATCTCAGGGACGTTAATGCATGCTTGTGGTCCCAGCACTTGGAAGGTGGAGGCAGGAGAAAAGACTCAACTTGTGCAAGTTATCCTCTGACCTGTAACACACACACACACACACACACACACACACACACACACACACACACACAAGAAAAGAACCAACAAAACATGAGACTACCTCAGTCCATGTTGGGAGTTTTAAATACCTAATTTAATGTTGTTCTGTATCATATTTCTTCTTTTCTTTTGGCTGACTTGCTACTTGCTTAGTTAACTCATTCACTGAAAACCAAAAATACATCTATCATATGTCATTCTCTGGTTTATTAAAATAATGTATCTGGGGTGTTTCCAGGATTCTAAACTCCATTTTCTGATGTTTCCAGGGTTCAACTTCAATAGGCCTGATTATATGGGAAGCATCGTCCGAGTGCCCAGTCGCTACCATGGTGCCCACCATGAAGAGCAGCTGCGGCTACCTCAGGGATATGCACTACATTTTTCCACGACGCATACCACATGAAGCCTGGGCTAGCGGCGTGCACAAGGACAGACACGGTTTCAACATGATCAAAACTCTGCCAGTAAGAAATCTAGCTATAGCACCCATAGGAGAACAAGCGATAGCTCTCTCCTGTGTGCTGCCATGACCATTCTGCCTTAGCATGTCTGAGGTGCTCTAGCACCTACAGCATTTTGAAACTGTGGGTCATTTTGAGAACATGATAGTGATGGTCCATTTCTAAACTGCGAAAACCTTCTGAAATAATTGTTTTTCTTACTAACTTCTCTTCACCGTCAGTGTCATTAAGACGATGATGGCATAATATTGGGCTTTTGTGTTTCATGCAGCTATTTTAATTTAGAGTGACTTGTCTCAAACAAATTACCTAATTGGTCCTAGTTTTCTATGTGTTTTGGTTTGTTTTTTGATTTTTCCTTGATCAAGTTACAAAATGTTTTTCAGTTCTCCCATTTCAATATAATAATTTTTGCTTTTGTTTTGTTAGTATTTGTGAGTCTTTAATTTTGTTTTTCTGTGTATGAGAGTGGCCAGTATCCATGGTTTAAGTGTGTGTGCAGGTATGTCTGTGCAGGTATGTTTGCTCATGTAGTGTGGAGGCCAGCAGTCAACATCAGCATGTCTTCCTCCATTGTTTCTCTGCCTGATTTCTAAGACAAGTTCTCCCATTGAGCCTAAAGATCACCATTTTTCTTGAACTGGCCAACAAGCTCCCAGGATAGGACTGTCTCTGACCCCAGCATTGGGGCCATGGGTTGTGCTAGAATTGGTTTTCCACTTGGGTACTGGGACCCAAACCCAAGCCCTGACACTTGTGTAGCAGACGCTTCCAGCTGAGGCATCTGATCAGCCATTTTTGTTGTGTTTTATTTTATTTGGGGATTCTTATGACCACTTTAAAACCACAAATTAGCTCATGTGCTGCTTTTAGTTTTGTGACAGGAAAAATAAGAAAATTTGAAGGTATGTTCTAACCACATCCCTGAGCCATGTCTCTACAATGCTGGGACACACCTGCATTAATTCTACGACAGCTGTTTAAGTAGTAAAAGTCATTTTCCCCTCTTTACAGAGTTCATATTATATCATCATGGGGCAACATTTTTGGAGCTACAGAAACTTAGGTGTGGGGCTACTGAAGAGGAGAAATTGACTGTGATACTGGGGCTAAACGGGAAATATTTGCACAGGATGATTGTCTGGTAAAATAAAATATTGATGTTTTGGTGAATAATAACGTGTGGCCCTCTTTCTTTATTTAATCACTTGCAGGTAAACTACAGACCTCCATCTAATATGGGAATTTCTATTCCACTCACAGATAATTTTTATCATGCAGACCCTAGCAAACCCATACCAAGAAATCTATTTCACAAGTCAAAGGTAAATAATTTGTCTATAAATGGACTAAGTAGTGTCTGTTTTATATTTACTCATATATATAAAAATATTACTCTTATATTTATAAGAAACACTATGCTGATGAGAAGGCTTAGCTCCATCAAGACTGAACCTCAGTTTGAACCCCAGGAAATTGTAGAAGGAAAGAACTGATTCCTGCTAGTTTGTTCTGGACTCCACCCATTCCATGACATATGCACATCACACACACACACATGCACACACACAGATAGACACAATACATTCATACTTATTTGGTAACTTGCAATTTTAGAAGAAAAACTTTATTTAGATGGCGCATCGTCACAGTTCTGGGAATTTAAAGAGAAATTTCAGCCACTTTTATTCCTCCAGGACAACTGCTGTCCCCTGTTCAGCCTCTGCTGCTTTGGCCCTTCAGCTACTCTCACCCTACTTTCCAGCTGTGGTGGTTTGATGTAATTGCCCCCAGAACTGATCGGGAGGGCACTATTAGGAGGTGCGGCCTTGTCGGAGAAAGTGTGGTCTTGTTGGCGGGGGCTGGATGACTCAGCCCTTTAATCCAGACTGAGACTGAGCGCACACCTCTAATCTGGAGCCCACCTTCTGTGGGTCATGGTGTCTCCTCCCAGCAATAGAACACTGACTAAGACAGCAGCTAAGAAGCTGAGGCGGACTCTCTCCTTGATTCTTGGCTCCCATGTAGATTTAAAGGCCACAGGCAGAGGAAGAGCCTTGTGTTTTCTGAGAGGAGGGCTTAGACCCAGCTCATGTCTTTCAGCCTTGTAAACTGAATGGTGTCCAAAAGGAAAGGCGACTCTTTGTTCTGACGTGAGCACATTTAGACTCCTGCCATGTTAGTACTAGAAAAGAGGATGGCTCCTTGGCCTTGGCACCACCTTTCTCCAGGAGGAATGAGCATGACAGAACACAGGGAGGCATAGGGCTCAGAGAAAAGGCAAATGATCTGGGGAGCCTCTGGTGCCTGCTATGCAAAGAGACCAGCATGCACTACAGAAAATTAGCATTTCTCTTGCTGAGAATGATTAACATCTGCCAGTCACATTCAAAATTGGGGGTACCAGCCCCTCAGATCCCTTCAAGATCCAGCTAAGGTGCTGCAGTTGGCAATGAAAATATAACTGAGGGGATGAGGGAGAAAATGAATTAACTCACATGCGATTCTCCCGCACATGTCTGTTTGTTCTCTCTTCCTTGGCCTCCATTCTATTCTTCTTTCCTAACTGTCTCTAATTTCTCAGCTCTAGTTCTCTGTCTTAATTCCAATTCTCTGCTATCGCCTCCTCCCCCTTCTTCATTTTCCTATCTCTTCTAACTTCTGGGATACTTCTGCTCCAGCTTCTGTTCATTTTTTGTTCTTACCTAGCTATAAAGACCATAAAATCTTCCAGGCATAGAGAGTGACCAGTCAGCCTATATAAACAGACAAGTGAAATTTTATGGCCCTTGGTCCATTAGCACTTTTGCCAAAAGTTGCAAATTCTAAGGGCCTTTTAGATTGGAAGTTTACGCCACTTTCTCTAAGCAGTTGGAACACAGAGGAGACCCAAGCCTCTAAATGATCAGATCCAGGGTTTGATGCCAATCAGAGTCACCAGTGGAGGTTCGTCCTCCTCAACGCTGGGGGTTGATGGTTAATTATTTTCTCTGAGAGTAGGAAATAAGTAGTAAATCTCCTGAACTAAAATCATCAGTGAATTGAGGTGAAGTGAGCATGGGGAGTTAGGAGTCTTTTAATAAAAGGTTAGTTTGAGGTCAATTTTTTTTTTAAATCTATTGTGTGGTAAAACCAGGTCATGCTTATTTTTTCTATCTATCTCTGCAGCTTTGGGCATGTAACAATTTTATGCCCTTGGATATCTGGGAATGTCTTAAATGGAATACATTTGCCTGGATCCTAAACATTGCCAATAAAGATAATCTCAGGAAAGCCGATCTCTGCATTTACACTGAAGAAAGGAACAGAGACCTGGTAGTGGGAAGCAGGTTTCTTGATTGTGTGATTATTTTCACACAAAGTTAGGAACTGTCATCCATAAACCCCAGTTGTCTAGGGGAAATTGTGCCCAATAAAGGATCAACTAGTTCTTTTTTTTTTTTTTTTTTGCATGCACACATGCACATGCATGCACAAGCCCACAAATCTTTTTTTTTAATTTTTTTTTAACTTTTTTTTTTTATTGAGAAAAGGAGAAAAAAAACAAGTTTCCACCTCCTCCCAGCCTCCCACTTCCATCCCCCTCCTCCCAACCTACTCCCCCTCCTCCCATCCCTCTCTCCCTCCCCCCCTCCTCTCCCCCTCCCTCTCCAGTCCAAAGAGCAGTCAGGGGTCCCTGCCCTGTGGTAAGTCCCAGGTCCTCACCCTCCGTCCATATCCAGGAAGGTGAACATCCAAACTGGCTAGGCTCCCACAAAGCCAGAACATGAAGTAGGATCAAAACCCCGTGCCATTGTCCTTGGTCTCTCATCAGCCCCCATTGTTCGCCATGTTCAGAGAGTCCAGTTTCATCCCATGCTTCTTCAGTCACAGTCCAGCTGGCCTTGGTGAGCTCCCAATAGATCAGCTCCACTGTCTCAGTGGGTGGGTGCACCCCTCGTGGTCCCGACTTCCTTGCTCATGCTCTCTCTCCTTCCGCCCCTCACTGGGACCTTGGGAGTTCAGTCCAGTGCTCCAGTGTGGGTCTCCGTCTCTATCTCCATCCATCACCAGATGAAGGTTCTATGATCATATGCAAGATATTCGTCAGTATTGCTATAGGACAGGGTCATTTCAGGTTCCCTATCCTCAGCTGCCCAAGGAACTAACTGGGGACCTCGGCTTGGGCACCTGGGAGCCACACTAGGTTCAAGTCTCTTAACTAAGAATTGTGCTTCCGTGCTCCCCTATCCAACCTTCCTATATCCCAATCCTCCTTTTTCCCCAAGTTTCCCCTATTCTCCCCTTCTCCCTTTTCTCTCCCCATCTCCCCTTACCCCCATCCCACCCCACCCCCAAGATCCCAATTTTGTCTACTTCCCATAGCCAAGAGGACAACTATATGTTTTTCCTTTGGTTCACCTTCTTACTTAGCTTCTTTAGGATCATCAATTGTAGACTCCGTGACCCTTATTTATGGCTAGAAACCAATTAGGAGTGAGTACATTCCATATTCATCTTTTTGGGTCTGGGTTACATCACTCAGGATACTATTTTCTATTTCCATCCATTTGCATGCAAAATTCGAGAAGTCATTGTTTTTTACCGCTGAGTAGTACTCTAATGTGTATATATTCCACACTTTCTTCATCCATTCTTCCATTGAAGGGCATCTAGGTTGTTACCAGGTTCTGGCTATTACAAAAAATACTGCTATGAACATAGTTGAACAAATGCTCTTGTCATATGATAGGGCATCTCTTGGGTATATTCCCAGGAGTGGTATTGCTGGGTCCAGGGGTAGGTTGATCCCGAATTTCCTGAGAAACCGAAACACCGATTTCCAAAGTGGTTGCACAAGATTGCATTCCCACCAGCAATGGATGAGGGTACCCCTTCCTCCACAGCCTCTCCAGCAAAGGCTATCATTGGAGTTTTTTATTTTAGCCATTCTGACAGGTGTAAGATGATATCTCAAAGTTGTTTTGATTTACATTTCCCTGATCGCTAAGGAGGTTGAGCATGACCTTAAGTGTCTTTTGGCCATTTGAACTTCCTCTGCTGAGAATTCTCTGTTCAGTTCAGTGCCCCATTTTTTAATTGGGTTAATTAGCATTTTAAAGTCTAGTTTCCTGAGTTCTCTATATATTTTGGAGATCAGACCTTTGTCTGTTACGGGGTTGGTGAAGATCTTCTCTCAGTCAGTAGGTTGCCTTTTTGTCTTGGAGACAGTGTCCTTTGCTTTACAGAAGCTTCTCAGTTTTAGTAGGTCCCATTTATTCAATGTTGCCCTTAATGTCTGTGCTGTTGGGATTACACATAGGAAGCGATCTCCTGTGCCCGTCTCCTGTAGGGTATTTCCCACTTTCTCTTCTATCGGGTTCAATGTCTTCTGACTGATATTGAGGTCTTTAATCCATTTGGACTTGAGTTTTGTGCACGGTGAAAGATGTGGGTCTATTTTCATTCTTCTACAGGTTGACATCCAGTTATCCCAGCACCATTTGTTGAAGATGCTCTCTTTCTTCCATTGTATACTTTTGGCTCCTTTATCAAAAATGAGGTGTTCATAGGTTTGTGGGTTAAAATCCGGGTCTTCTATACGATTCCATTGGTCGACTTCTCTGTTTTTATGCCAATACCAAGCTGTTTTCATCACTGGAGCTCTGTAATAGAGTTTGAAGTCAGGGATGGTAATGCCTCCAGACAATCCTTTATTGTATAGGATTGTTTTGGCTATCCTGGGTTTTTTGTTTTTCCATATAAAGTTGATTATTGTCCTCTCAAGATCTGTGAAGAATTTTGATGGGACCTTGACGGGGATTGCATTGAATCTATAAATTGCCTTTGGTAGAATTGCCATTTTTACTATGTTGATCCTCCCAATCCAAGAGCAAGGGAGATCCTTCCATTTTCTGGTATACTCCTCAGTTTCTGTCTTCAATGCCTTAAAGTTCTTGTCAAATAGATCTTTCACTTCCTTGGTTAGAGTTACCCCAAGATATTTTATGCTGTTTGTGGCTATCGTGAAAGGTGATGCTTCTCTGATTTCCCTCTCTGCTTCCATATCCTTTGTGTATAAGAGGGCTACTGATTTTTTGGAGTTGATCTTGTATCCTGCCACATTACTAAAGGTGTTTATCAGCTGTAAAAGTTCTTTGGTGGAGTTTTTGGGGTCACTTATGTACACTATCATATCATCTGCAAATAACGAAAGTTTCACTTCTTCCTTTCCAATTCGAATCCCCTTGATCCCCTTATGTTGTCTTATTGCTATTGCTAGAACTTCAAGCACTATATTGAAGAGGTATGGCGAGAGTGGACAGCCTTGTCGTGTTCCTGAGTT